CTAGTATTTCTTAAATTTTGGCCAAAAACAAACAAACAAAAACAAAAAAAACACACACACACATATATATATATATATATATATATATATATATATATATATATATATATATATATATATATATATATATATATATATGCTATTTACTAAAAATGATCTAAGTACAACAGAAAGTTGGATTTCTAAAATATACAAAATACTTGTGTGTTTTATTTAACAGTTTCCTTCTTTTGCTGAGTGAACTATTTAATTCATGATGATAAACTCCAGTTGAAGCAGAAATCAAAATGTTCTCATGTGTGAGATGCAGTGAAGGCAGCACAATGTGAAGCAGAAAGTGGGCAGAAATAAATGGGATTATGACATTTAAATATTCAACAAATCTTAGTGGGACTCATTTTTAACCAAGCCGCAGTCCTAAACAAAGTGCCTTGGTAGGACATTTGAATTTTTACTTTTTTTAATGCTTTTGATTAAAATTGTATTGATTTTGGTTTTAACAAAACACTGAAAAATATGTTCAGAATTTTCTTTCAAAATAAAATTAATTGTGGTTGTTTAAATTTTTTTAAAATACCTTAAATGCACTATTGGATTTTTGGCTGATATCCGATATATTAAAACTTATTTGGTCGATAACCTATATTGATACTGATATTTTTTAACATACTTTCCTTTGTCAGAACATAGCCCTCTTATTTAGGCTTATTTGCTACAAAAACTGTGTAACAGCTGTAAGAGCTGGTTACATATATTCAGTGACAGCCATATGATAAGCATAGCACTTTAACTTATATTAAATGAAAAGTGTTAAATGTTATTTATTCACATTAGTCACCTGCAATGCCGTCTCACTTGTGGAGGTTAGTTCCAGGTTCCTAGCTGCAGTGTGGGATCCTCTGTACTCTTGTGCATGAAGGACAGACTTTTTAAGTTCAAAGTTTTTGTCTATCCATTGTGCCGTAAGACTAATCATGCTAACGGGGATAACACAACGTCCAAATGTCTGTGGTAAAACTCACCCAAGTGCTATCGGCTATTAGCTTCTCTATGACATCGGAAATGACCACTTGTAACACGGGTAAAGTTACGTCGGAAAAATATCTCCGACTGGGGACAATGTAGCGAGACTCAACATAGTCCAAAAATCTTCAGAATGTGACATCCTCAATGAAAAAAAAAACCTTCCACACCGCTGACATTTTCACTTCTTCCTCTGCGCCGTGATCAGATCAGGTAGGCGCACGTGACGTCATCACGTTGTGCTGCCTCTGCAGGCATCCTTGTCACTGGGTTGTCGTACAAAAACAGCGTCTTTTATATCGGCAAGTTATTTTAATGGAATTTCCGATGTCCGATATTGAACTTTAACACTAATATCGGCTGATACCGATACCATGCCGATGATATCGTGCAGCCCTACCTTGAATATTTATTTTTATTTTAAGAATAAAGATGTTTCGTTTTATCTTGTGAAAAAAACTTTTTAGTATAAAATAATGTCTTCTGTTTGGTCACTCATCATGAATTTCCATTAATTTCCTGACTGTATGAAATTTTAAAAGTCAAGTGAAACATTATGTAACAGAGTCACACAGTGGTTGTGCGCGTTAGTGGTGATTATTAATAAATCTCTGCAGAGTTCAGTTTCTGTTAATACAACAAACAGTTTCCCATGATGTTTTAGAATAAGCCGTGATTCGCCTGTCTGCTCAGCTGACCCTGTCATGTGACATTTCAGTGGCTCTCCCACCACCTTTTCCTTCCCATGACCCCTCAGCACAGAGGACTGACTGTCAATCAAACGTGTCCATGCTGCTCCACATGAAATAATAATTATAAGACTGCTGGGTTCTCATATTCTCTGCATGACCGCTACAGGTTGTAAGGTCACATTTAATTACATGTTTATGCAGCTCCAGTTCTTGATGCAAGTCATCCTACTGCGTTTTAAATAACTATAAAACAGGTCAAGTTCAAAACAGTTTAGTTTCATTTATTATGTCAGAACAGGAGGCATTGAATCAAATAAATAAAACAGCTGATTGTAGAAAATACAAAAATGGCTATAACTCAGTCCTGTTTATAGACATTGGTGTGGTAGTTGCTGAAACTCAGTTTTTCAATTAACTTTACTGTTTTGCTATTAGCAATAGAATAAACTATCTGTCAGCAAAATACCTCATGAACAACTGGATATATTACCAGGAGACTTTCGAGAAATCACCACTGGACACACTTCTACAACTGATCTACTTTTGGAGCCAGCCCAATTCAAGATGGCCACCACAGCCAATTAACTTTAGAAAACACAAACAATGCAATAACTTAGTCACCTTCACAGAGCTTGATCTAAAATTAGGTATGGAAGTATCCGAGAGTCATTCAAAACTTACTGTTCTATAGTTTAATCCCATTGAGACTCGGACTCATTTACAAGAGAGACCTGAAATATGACCTATAATATTTACAGATTACCAACCTGTAATATTTACAGATATTGAGCTTCAATTCGATGTTGTAGCTGAGAGACATTCGGAAAACATCTGCTATGCCGGACACTTTGAGCTATGATAAATATATTTCCAAGGTTTACAAATTTATCATTTCTCAGTATCAAATGATCTTGGTCTGAAACTCGAAGCAGTGTGCAATTAGCATCTCTTCAAGGAACTCTAGGCTTTTAATTAAAAGTGTAAAAACCTTCATTCTGTGGTTTTGATGCAACACAAACCACAGATTTTCTACATTACATACACCAGCATGAATTTGATTTGTATTTTAAAAGACAAACACGTCATCTCCTTTGGTTTTCTCTTTTTGAATTAACAAGAAAATCATCTTTGCATCTGTTACGATCCTTGAGCGTCAGAGTTAAATGTTATTTAGACGGAGTCGAGAAGCTGAGGAAATTAAACGATGAGATTTATCACAGTAGTTAGAGCAAATGATTTCTTCTTCCCATCAGCTGAAAATCACAATGTTTTTTGTACCAGAGGCTCGAGACAACGCCTGGTGTGAGATCCACATTTCCAGCAGTTGAATTAAAAATAGTTTTTCAACCAGTGCAGAGTTTTAGGAACTTTAGTACTTACTGTGATATTCAAAAAAAAAATAATAATAATTCAATTCAAAAATACTTTATTAATCCCAGAGGGAAATTAAATGTTGTTGTAGCTCATTTTCCTTGTTTCATAAAAGAGTTGTTCTAGATGTTGATGGTTCGTCTTATAGCAGATCTGAAAAAACTGGCCACAGATGTTGATCCGTTTACTTGCACTTGGTTGGCCTCCTGGGCTTCAGGATCACCTGAATGTTGGGCAGAAATCCTCCCAGGGCAATGGCCACTCCTCCCAGCAGCTTGTTGAGCTCCTCGTCGTTGCAGACAGCCAACTGTAGGTGCTGATGGACGATCCTGTTCTTCCGCTGTCATGAGCCGTGTTTCCTGCTAGTTCCAGGATCTCAGTGGTCAGGCACTCGAGCACAGCTGGCAGGTAGATGAAAATGCGTCCACAGAACATCCTTTTCAACTCATTTGAAATTTAGGGCTGTAGTTGAGATATTACTTGAGCTTTTGAGATGTTAATCAGCTGCTGTTGGTTGTAGAAACTGCCTTGTTGCCATGGTTACGCATCATAACAAATGTCCAAAACTAAAAAAGTTTCAGTAAAAATCCTTCCAGCTGCACAGCATCCGATACCAGAGGAAACAATCATCCAAAAAAATGTGATTTACATCCAGAAAAAGAGGAATTAAAGTTTCCAAAAGCAAAATCTCAGAATGAAAGTAACAGAGCTGCTCCAACATGCAGCCACCTTGAGCGGCGCAATTCTAGAACATTTAGAATATGGGAATGATGAATATAATAAAGCCTCTAAACGTACCTCCAATTTGTTAGATTTCAATTTATTTTTTCTTTCTTTGAAAAGCTAAAACTGGCCTAATATAAACCTCCTCATGAGAAGCAGGGTTTTTTCTAAACCACATGAAGCTGAACAGAAAATGATGGTCCTTTAGTCTTTGACTCCACCTGCTGTTGATCCCTGAAACCGTTCATACTTCATTTAAAGTCTGCCTTCAACTTCATTTTTGTAATTCAGATAATGTAACATAAATTGCATGGATAGAAAACTGTCAAAATAGAACATGAGATTTGGTTTTATCAACATTTTCATTTACATTTTGCCATTCTTCATTGAAAAAAAAATCATCTCTCGACTGAAAATAAGTGTTTAACATTCACAACAACTGAACACAAAAATATTAAAATGAAGTTGTGTACTTTAATCTATTCATCCATCCATTATCTTCCCCTGCTTCTTCCTTTTCGGCTCTTGGGGGGGTCACTGGTACCCATCCAGCAGTCTCTCGGGGGACACCCTGGACAGGTCTCCAGTCCATCATAGGGACAGAGACAAATGAGACAAAGGACAATTTAGCCTAACATGCATGTTTTTGGTCTGTGGGAGGAAACCAGAGTACCTGGAGAAATCCCACACATGCACAGAGAGAACATGCAAACTCCATCCAGAAAGGTCCCGGGCTGGGATTTGAGCTGGCGACCTTCTCGCTGAGAGGCGACAACTTTTCCAAGTGAGCCACTGTGCAGCCGTGTAATGTTATGTATAAAAACATAATAAACACAAAGGTGTAAAGAAAGATTATTGAGACTCGCAAAGTATTATTACTAAAAGATTTAAAATAAACAAGAATGAAAAGTTTACAAAAATATTACAAAAATTACACAAACTCGTGTCTCTGTACATAAAAATGTAAATAAATTGTTGCTTTTATTCATTCGACTCATGAAATTCTAACATTTCCGAGTGTTCCTGAACGCACCGTTACGTTCCAGCGATCAGCTGACTGCGTGGGCTGTCATGTGGCGTTCACGGACGAAAAAAACTCGGCGGAAAGCGCCACAATAAACAAGCCGGGTTCGTTTTAAAGAGAGCACAGCTCAGTTTCCATCATTTCCTGGTTTCTTCCACTTGTCCAACATGGCTTGGACAAACTACCAGCTGTTCCTTGCGGGACTTATGCTAACAACTGGATCCATCAACACATTATCGGCAAAGTGAGTACATGTTCCTTCTTTTCTGTCAGGTGCACAAAGAGCAGGCTAAACACAACTAGAAGTTCAAATGCAGTACCTATTGTCTAATTAAAAAACACGAATAAATCGTTATTACATGTTTCGTAACAGCCCAGTTGAAACTAGCTAGTAATGTTAGCTAATGACAAAACATTTGGATTTAATCACTACCTTCTTTTCATGCTTGTGGGTCAAATCTCGCGTGACTTCCCGGTCTGTTTGACCAAGTTCTGTTTAAAACGAAGACGTTAAACAGACAAGATGAGCATTTCCGTGTAATAACTGGAATGACGAGAAGTTTCTGTAAGGAAGCAGCTGCTATCTGAATGGAAATCAAAACGTTTCAACGACTTATCTCTGCGTGGGATCTACATGTTCTGTTTCGACTTTAGTTTAATCAAGAACTTTACTAGAAGCACACTTACTAGCTGAGTTACCAGGGGTGCCACTAAGGGGGGTCCTAAGGGGGCAATGATTACCTTTTTTTTTTTTTAAATATCCATCTTGCCCCCTTGGCCAGACATTATTGTATGCATACAGTAATTTATGAATATGAATTTGAGAAAGGAGAAATTGAGTTTCAGCTGAATAAATGACTTAGTTTATTTTAATTATTTATGCAATCAGTATTACGCTGACAGAGTAGACAGTGGCACAGCATATGCAGTATTCCATAATCTGTGCTGCTTTGTTGTGGACGAGGGAGCTGAGCCGCAAGGCGAATCTCTGTTGACCGCTCAATCTACGTTCCTACCCTCGCCTGTGGTCGGGTAGTCACCGAAACAACGAGATTGTGGTACAAGCGGTCAAAATGAGCTTCACCGCGGAATAGCTGGACTCACCCTCAAAGATATGGTGAGAAGTTCAGTTATGTGGGAGAGACTCGGAGTAGAGACGCCGCTCCTCCACATCAAAACGAACAAGTTTACGTGGTTCAGATATACGGTAAGATGTCCCTTGGGCGCCTCCGTAAGGAGTTTTACCAAACCTCGGGAAAGACCCAAAACACACTGGAGAGACCATATTTTATAGCTGGGCTCGGACCACTTTGGAATTAAGTAATTACATTATGAAAATTGATTACATTTATAGCATAATAGCAAGCAAACTGTAAAAGGAAAACTTTATGCCCAGTTCACACAGAAATTTTCAAAGCAGAAAAAAGCTGCCTGAATAAATTATTTTCCTGATCCTACGTATATTATTATTCACAAAAATGTCCCTGAATATCATAATACAAAATTAACGGAGTTTTGAGATTGTTTTAAAACTTGGATACTTAAGTTTCAACTCCTGAATCAGATATTTATTTGTTCCATCGCACCTGATTTGAATCAAAGTAAAACACTTTTACCAAAACAAGTAAGCGATGGGTTGCTGTGGCAACCGCTCTAAAGAAACAGCCAAAAGACGTCGAAGATGTATGACAACAGAACAGAATTTTTGTCATGGCTATTGGTTTTGATATGCCATTCCAAGATTATCAATCCCCATCTGGTCATTGCTTTGATAACTTACTAGGAGCTCACCTGGTGAGACACGCACTGTGTTATAACTACCATATTTTTGGACTATAAGGCGCACCGGATTATAAAGCGCATTTAACAAAACTATGGTTGCACGATATTATCGACATGGTATCGGTATCGGCCGATATTAGCGTTAAAGTTCAATATCGGACATCGGCCATTCCATTACAATAACTCACCAATATAAAAGACGCTGTTTTTGTATGACAACCCAGTGACAAGGATGTCTGCAGCGGCAGCACAACGTGATGACGTCACGTGCCTACCTGATCTGATCACGGCAGAGAGGAAAATTCAAAATGGCGGCGGTGTGGAAGGTTTTTTTTTTTTTCTTCATTGAGGATGTCGGATTCTGAAGATTTTTGGTCTACGTTGAGCCGCACTACATCGTCCCCAGTTGGAGATATTTTTCCGACGTAACCTTACCCGAGTTACAAACCGTCATTTCCGATGTCATAGAGAAGCTAATAGCCGATAGCACTTAGGTGAGTTTTACCACAGACATTTGGACGTCGTGTTAGCCCCGTTAGCATGATTAGTGTTACGGCACAATGGATAGACAAAAACTTTGAACTTAAAAAGTCTGTCCTTCATGCACAGGAGTGCAGAGGATCCCACACTGCAGCTATAGGAACCTGGAACAAACCTCCACAAGTGAGACAGCATCGCAGGTGACTAATGCTAATAAATAATATTTAACACTTTTCATTTAATATAAGTTAAAGTGCTATGCATATCATATGGCTGTTAGTGAATATATGTCACAAGCTCTTACAGCTGTTACACAATTTTTGCAGCAATTGAGCCTAAGTAAGAGGACTATGTTCAGACAAAGGAAAGTATATTAAAAAATATCGTTATCGTTATCGGTTATCGGCCAAATAAGTTTTAACATATCGAATATCGGCCAAAAATCCAATATAGTGCATCCCTAAACGAAACGAAACAATTTCGACAGATTTTTGAGCACCGTGCACCACATAAAATCAGTTTAAGGGTCAGTAAGCACAACCAGAATTAATACATAAGGTGCACCGGATTATAAGGCTCACTGTTGATTTTTGAGAAATACCTGAAAACCGTTGGATTTATTTATGGTATGAACAAAGTGTTTGTCATAATTATGTATTTATCTTTTGGCAACCGCAAAAAAGCTCTTTTTTTTTTTTTTAAACGTCTTTTTAACAAGTAAAGTATTCGAGACGAGAATCCTTGACAGTCTGTGTTTGATTTCATAGAAGAAAAGCAAATAAAGCAAAACTGTCATGTGACCTTTTAAATAAAATTAAAAAAACGGTTCCAAAGAAGGAACCTTAAATCAGATAATGCTTTGAATGCTCCAAATGATTGTGAGACCGTTTATCATTATCATGTGCCTCATGGCATTTTGATCAACAAATGAACCATTTTATCTTTTAGTTTTTAAAAAATTGTCTTCAAATTCATAGATTTTCTGGGTCAGCCGTCTGATAACGGCACAGCTAGATAAGTAAATGATTTGATTTGAAGGAGAAAAAAAAGCAGCGTTTGTCACTTGCTGTGATTAATAAGAGGTTTACCACTTTTGTAAAATGAGACATTTAGCTTTTTTAACTTCTCCAAATATTTGTGATGTCAGCTTTATCCTGTCTGACTCAAACTTCTGTTTCCTTATTTGGGTTTAATGGTGTAACGAAACCCACATTTGTTACAAATCACACCAGGTGAACTGCTAATGTGTCACACAAAACCATCTTGTTCACACAGGAACAGGTAAAGTTTCACCTCGGTCACATGATAACTGCCTCACATCAGCTGAGACCGTCTGTTGATAGTTTTGGTGCAACTTACATTTTTCTTTTTCTGTCGCTGTGTGCAGTTCAAGATATCTAATCCACAGTACAGTGACCAGACATGAGGCCCTCTCATGTTTCCACTTTAACTTGATGAGCTCAGACGTTTTGAAGCATTACGGGGAAGCGTTTCGACCGTGACTTGAGGATAAGAGCGTCACATGTCAGTCAGGCTTTCTTTGACTGTCCAAGGTTTTCTGCAGACATAAGCACTCTGTATAACCGCGCATGTAAAATGCAACGTCATCATCGTTCAGTCTGTGCAGAGTCTGAACTGCTTTCGTTTACAAGAAAAGTCACAAGTTAAAAACCGAACGGCAGATTTAATTTGTGCATGACCAGTTTTTAATTGTTTGTTGTGAAACTGTTTCTGCTTGTTGTTTATTTTGCTGCATTTCTGAAGCTACGCTGAGACAAACACTGACCCTCTGCTTTTTTTAAATCTTCACTAATCAACTTGTTCTCTTGTGTTTTTGTCTGACAGATGGGCTGACATGTTCTCAGCAAAGGGTTGCCATGACGACCCCGAGCATCCCTTCTCTCACCCATTTTTACAGGTACAGTAAGAGACCTCTGGGTACAACTTTTGGGATTGGATTTAAAAGTCAGTGCAGATTAACATACATATATATCTTCTTGTAACTCTCAGCTACTACCACACTAAATTTAACTCAATAGTTAACTATTGAAGTTGCATTTCCCGCAAAATGCAGTGTGAATGCTTATTGCAGAAGAACTTGCTGAAAAACTGCTGAAATTAGCTAAAAAAATAAAAATAAAACCATGCTGAAATCTAGCCAAAGTTGATGAACAAGCTAAATTAGCAGAAGAATGCAGAGAGAATATATATTTGCTGAATTAGATTTACATAAGCAGAAATGCACACGTCAATTACTCAAGCTGAAAGTAGCAAAAAAATAGCTGAAAAGGCAGAAAGAAGCTTAAATTACCAGAAGGAAGCAGAAAGAGCTGAAATGAGCTCAATGTGAAATTTGCTGCAAAAGCTAAAATAAGTCTAAAAGAGATAAATACTCACTGAAAGAGCAGAAAAAGCTGAAAGGGGGATAACAAGCTGAAATTAGTCGAAAAAAGTAAATTAGGCTGAAAGTAACAGAAATTACCATAAAAAAATTTGAATTTATCTAAAAACAGCTAAAATTAGCTATAAAACTGCTAAAAAATGTATCTGAAAAGTTAGAACAAGCTTAAATTACAGAATAAACCAGAAAGAACATATATTTGACCAACTAAGCTTTAAAGAAGCAGAAATGAGCACAAAAACGTGGAAATTATCTGAAAAAAGAAGAAATTGTCAAAAAAAAAGGCAAAAAAGTAGTTAAAAGGCAGAACGAAGCTCAAATTACCAGAAGGAAGTAGAGAGATCACATTTTCTTCTGAACTAGGTTGGAAAAAATTGAAATGAGCGCAAAAAATGTGAAGTTAGCTGAACAAGCTAAAATTGGTATAAAAACAGCTAAATAGTAACTGAAATTGCAGAAAAAGCTGAAAGTTGCAGAAATAAGCTGAAAGGTATACGAGCTGCAACAGAAAGAAGTTAGAAGCACAAAAATGTTGTAGTTAGCAGGATGGATCTGAAAGGAGCACATAACAGCTGAAATTAGCTGAAAAATGTTCAAATTTGTACGAGGAAGCTGAAAGAAGCTGAACCAGAACAAAATGTGAAAGGAGCAGTAAAAGGTTGTAAACAGAGCTAAAGATCTGAAGGATGGAAAATCAGCTCAATTCATTTTCTAGTGGCAGAAAAGGGTAAATATTTCAAAAAGCCACTAGTTCCAAAAGTGAAAGAGCTGAACGTTGTGATAAATGATTTGTTGAAATAGCACAAAAATTGTGGAACGAGAAAGATACAGAAAAACGTACAGGAGAATTTCGAAGTGGAAACAGGATCACAGTAGTGTGAATGCTCCGTAAGCGTTCACACAATGACTTGGCTGAGTTTTAGCCGTTTTGTTTTGGGAGTATTTGTTAAGCTTTGGCAGCTATCTTAAATCGAGGTGACTCCAAAAGTTAATCTCTGTACGCCCAATGATTACTTTCAAAAAATTTAATTAAAAATCCATTAAGTGGTTCATGAGATATTTTGCTAACAGACAGACAGGGTTGACACCAACATTATGGTTAAAGATGTATTTGTTCTTTGTAGCTTCTCAAATGATTAAAAAAAAAACGGTTTAAGTCATACCCAACTGTTTTAACATAAACACTACATGAGAGGCAAAGAACTCATCATCATGGCCGTTTTAATAAATATAAGTTCTCACTTCTGGTGTTTTCTTTGTGATCTCAAATAAACACTGTGCATTAGATTAATGAGAAGTGGCACTAATGACTTGGAGCAAATCTTTTTAGGTTTATGTAATGTTTGAAGAGAAGTATAAACAGGCTAACTGTATGTGTTGTATAATGACTTGCCATCTTTTGTACCTGTTTGTGTCTTTTCTAGTCACAAATCTATGAGTCAAACATCAAATTCACCATAAATAAATATAAAACCTACATCACACCCTAAGGTAGACATTTTATTTTTTTACTTTAGTATGCCACTTTAATAGAACACAAAGTGCTGCAACTTAGTGGTAACCATTTTCAAACAACCTTCTGAAAGTCTTTGCTCGACTTGGAAACAACAAACCTCCTTGGATCAGAAGTGTAACTCTCTCCAACTGTCCCGTCCTGCGTCTCTTTCTCCTGGTTGCTGTTCAGGCCGTGGGGATGTTCCTGGGTGAGTTCTGCTGCCTTGTGGTTTTCTATATCGTGCTTTGCCACGACCGACGAAGCCCAGAGCCGAGAATAAACCCGGGCCAGAGGTTCAACCCTCTCCTGTTCTTCCCTCCTGCGATGTGCGACATGTTGGCCACTTCCATCATGTACGTCGGTAAGTAACCACCACCTCAAGCACCTGAGTGGTTGCTAGGATTTAGCAAGTATAATGCAAATGTGGATATAAAATATTCTATTTGTACAGAATAAGTATGTAGTTCTGGTGACAGATCAGTTTGTATGAAATAGTCTTTTTGTCTTCCAGCCCTCAACATGACGAGCGCCTCCAGCTTCCAGATGCTTCGTGGAGCCGTCATCATTTTCACTGGTTTACTTTCTGTGGCGTTTTTGGGGCGCCGGCTCATAGTCAGCCAGTGGGTGGGCATAATGATCACCATCCTGGGCCTGGTCATAGTGGGACTCGCTGACTTTGTCACTGGCCACAAAGATGATTCGCACAAGCTGAGTGATGTCATCACTGGTGAGATGTTTCCTTTATTTAAATGGTAAAATAAACCGTAAAACGAAGGCACAAAGATGTCTACAGACACACTCTTGTTTGAAGATGAAGTGTTTTATTAGTCGGATCCGATCTCTTTTCTGCTCCTCAGGGGATCTTCTGATCATCATGGCTCAGATTGTTGCTTCCGTGCAGATGGTGCTGGAGGAGAAATTTGTCTACAAACATGATGTTCATCCTCTTCGCGCCGTTGGAACCGAAGGTAAAGCAGTTCTTTGTACATGCAGCACATTTCACAAACGAAGGTCTTTACATCTCTTACTGGCAATTGCACACATTCCTACATGTTAACTATTAAAATATGCCTTTCTGTTTATCCTTTATTTATTATTGCACAATAAATGCAACAATGTCAGTAGAAACATCACTGGAAGACATCTTTACAATATAACTTGGATTCCAGTAGCTTCAACTTGCTTTTACTCTACATCTAAGATTGGTCTTAAGTCAGTCACAGCACCGTTTAAACAGTTTAGATCTTGAAGTGAGATAACATACAGTGTCCTAATTTTATATACACTGTCCTAACTACATCCTATAGGCTTTATAAACCCTTCCCACACTCTTGCAATGTTCTGAACTCTTAAACCTATGTCATTTTAACGACATACGTATTTGTACTGTACAGTACTGCAAAATTTTACTCACCAGCTCTGCAGAAACGGCGACTCTGTTCTGGTCCGGCAGACCTACCCTGTCGGTTCTGTTCCCGTTCTGGTCGACTTTGTGCAGCCCTTGAACACCGAAACACATTGTGGAGGAAGCCGGACCTTTGGATGGCCAGCACGTGACCAGATGGTGGTCCGATTGAGTCCAAATCTGGATGGGGGAAGTCCCGGTGGGCTCTGGAGAGAATGTTGGACCTACGGGTGGCGCCTCCTCACTCGGAAGTCCTCGTGGGCCGACAAGCAGATTGACCGATGAGTCTGGAGGTCCATTTCTGCTCCAGTTCTGCTCCGGTTCCCGGTGGGTTCCATGCAGTTCTCTGCATCCGCTGGGTGCTGAAGTCACTGTATGAATAAGGACCAAACTTTTTCGGATCGATCAAAAGCTCAAATAATACCTCACCTACAGCCCCAAATCCCAAATGAGTAGAAAAGGGGGTGCTGTGGATGCATCTCCGTCTACCTGGAGGTGGTGCTCGAGTGCCTGACCACCTGATCGCCAAGATCTTGGCGGTAGCGGGAAACACGGCTCGCGACAGCGGGAGGACCGAGATCATCTCTCAACACCTGCAGTTAAGTTTGCGGCGACGAGGGGCGCGGCAGGCTGCTGAGAGAAATGGCCATTGCTGTGGGAGGAGTTCTGCCCGACATTCAGGCAATCCTGCTGCCCAAGAGGTCTGCTCGGTCTGGATGGATGTATTGGCATCTGCAGTCAGTTTCTTCAGATCTGCTGTGAGGACTGCTACAAGGGATCCTTCCTGCCCAAAGCCATCAGCATCTAGAACAACTCTAATAAAACCACGATGAGCTACATCAACAATTAATTTCCCTTTGGGATTAACAAAGTATTTTTGAATTGAATTGAAAACTTTCCATCTACGTATTTCAGCAGAAGCCAACAGGACTTGTGGGCTGTTGGCTTCTGGGAAATGTAGTCGTTATGAGTGGCGATACAGTGTAGGCTTATTGAGGGAAAACTACAAAATGGCGGCGCGTGTCCGATGTATTTTATTTTTTCGTTAACTTTTTACTGTATCCCATACTGTGCCAATCATGTGAGTAATATTAAAGTTGGCAATTATAGTGTCGTGTACAAATGTATTTTTCCTTGTGTACAATTTTACTTTGGAAAACTGAAAGAGCGAGTCTGCTAAAATCAAATTGCGAAGTAGCGAGGGACTACTGTATTATTTAATTTTTATTCCTCCGGGCCATATATTTACTTTCAAGATACACCATCAAAGAATAACCCGTAGATGAATAGCTGAATAATATAAATAAATGAAAAATAGTGCATAAATCAATAAAAACACTTTCTACAACGCAGTTGTCAAAGGTGAGCATTATTTGTCTGTGTTGATCAGTCTGATAATAAATGGAAAAAACATTTGGACTACAGATTAGCTCATATCAGTAAACATCAGTATGAAGGCGTTACTACATGAGGTACCAGTGAGAGAACGTGTTCAGATTTCTTTTTGAGCTCAGTCACCTGTCACCATGGGCTGGCGACAGGTGACTGAGAAAACTACGGTAATTCAATCAGTTCTGTCAAAAATGTTCTTCTCAAACATTCTGGTAAATCGGCAAATAAAGACAAATATGAAATGCTTTTTGTGTTGTCAGCATAAAATTACATTAAGTCTGCATCAATCAAATCTTTTGTTATCCGTGCTTGAAATTCATACATCATGTGACATGTTTTTTTATGTAGTTAAAGACCAGCATTACAAATCATTTAAGCTTTACGTTGGATTTAGTTTTAGTTCTGCTTCCTGCAGCTGAACTGTTGTGTTTGATGCTTTTTCACTCATATCTGCTCAGTTTTTGGAATGCATAAAGAACAAAAAAATAAATAAATGCGAGTGGTACAATACGCTCCATTCTGTTCTGTAACTGTTGTATGAGTGGATAACTGTGTAAACGAGCAGCTCCTTGCAGCTTTCTATGATAATGTGTCTGCTTGTTTGTTTTTTTTCCAAAGGGTCAGAACTAATCCATTTGTGCTCCTTCAGTGTGTCTTGGTCAGAAGCAAAAGAATGACAATAATGTGTGTTATCACACAGCTGATTCCTAAACTGGTCAGCTACATAAAAGTTTGATCAATACACGATAGCTGTGTATCTGTTTACTCAGAAAAAGCAGCCTTATCGTAGAGTCATGGTTTGGTTGAATTCAAGCTCTGAAGTTTTCCAGGTCATGTCTTTGATTTTACTTTGATAAATTAAAACATAACCCCTTAAACTAATTCAGTACTTCTTCAGATAATTAGAAGTTGAATTTTCAGTAGACTGCACAATATTAAACAACTTGGGATTGCTGCGGTTTTTCTTTCGGCTGCTCCCTTCCTCAGGGGTTGCCGCAGCGAGCGAACTTTGCATGAAAGCGTTGTTACTTGTTTTACACCGGGTGCCCTTCTTGATGCAACCTGGCCTCAAACCTGCAGCCTCGGGATTAAAAGGCCGCACCAGACTGACCACTGAGCCACCACCGCTGATTAAATCAAAAACACGAGGGCAACTGTCGACAGGAACGATGTGAGCCGAGGCCGCTATGATGGGTGTGGGCAGCAAAGTAATGATCAAACCCAAGAATACAGTTTTACAATCCACGCACACCAAAATAAACAGATTTTTTTTTTAAGCTGGATGCTCAACATGGCTGCGCAGCGCACTTGGTGACAAATTCAATGAGACTGCGACAGAAAAACGAACCATTACCTTCATTTCCCTAACAGTTTCTGCAGCAATACTTGTGCACCTTTTCCATTAGTACCTTTAGTACCGGTACAGCACGGTTCGACTTGGCTCGGCACGGTACGAGTCGCGTTACCATCATACTTTCGCTAACGGCTCTAGTGGGCAGGTTCAGAGTTCAAAAACTGACATCACGTGCCTTACAGCTGGTGGCGGTAATGCTGGTTGTAAGAACCTGAAACACGTTTCAGTACAGGGTGAGCATTTATTTTGAAGTTTCTGGTAAATTAAAAAGAATACAGCTGATTAAAATGATCAAATAAAAATATATATATCTATCTATCTATCTATTAAATAATATATATATATATATATATATATATATATATATTATAGATAGATAGATAGATACTGCTAATGAACTTTAGTTCACCATTAAATCTCTGATGAACCAGATTCTACAAATACATCTATATTTAAAATGTTTATAAGTTTTATTCATCATTTGATGTATTTACACTCATTGTGCTTCCTTTTATTGTTCAATTGAGATATGTGATTTTGCTTCTTGTATACGGATGTTATTTTTTTTAGCTTTGCTTTAAAAGTTTAATTCTTGTTTTGTGATTTGTACAACTGTGGGTTAAATAAGTTGAACTAAAGGCTGTATCTCTTCATTAAACATATTTGAGGGAAATATTCCTGATAGATCCAGTAATTTTTCTCTTTTTATGATTTTTCAGCTGAGTTAACTTAAACAGATTATTTAATAGTCATTAAAGTGAAAACAGGATTTCATGATAAAGTCTGCACCGTTTATTTATTTATTTGAATCTTCACCGATTTAAAAATAACATGTTTTTTTTATACATAAAATGTTTCTACCCTCCCTCCCAGACATCTGACCCGGCCTCGCGTGCTTCCACGCACGGGGAGCCGAGGAGATGACACCCTGCCGGCCTGAGGGGGCTCCGGTGGAGAGGACCGGCGGAGCTCCTTCTGACTCGCTCTGAATTTTGTCGTCGGTCACCAACCACAAAAAAACGCCTGCACTTCAGCATTAGATCACAGTGTTGTCATTATTGTTTTTAAAATCTTAGAAATAGGTCCAGTCGCTCCTCGAGTTCGAGTTATTGCAAATGGTGGATCTTGTTGTTGTGAAAGTTTCTCAAACAACCAGTGACTCCACCCCCCCTGACCAACCAGTGACCGACTGTTCTAACGTCATGTTGGTGCCGGTTCAGCCCGCTTGGAACCCCAGAGAAAATGGTACTGAAAAATTAGACCGGTTCCACAAACCAGTACTAGTGGAAAAGCCTTGGAACCGTGCCAAGTGGAGTCAAACCGTGCTGTACGGTTACTAATGGAAAAGGAGCATTAGTTATTTGTTTACATTTGGACCCCACGTACGGTTAACTTTGTCTTCTTTTTGGGTGCCTTCATGTCTGGCTGTACTTTTCAGACACAGCCCAAGACTTAACCTTTAATCGCAACCCAACAAAGTTCAGTCAGGTCATCCGGACAGTTTCTTTTTTTTCTTGAGACGTTTCGTCCTTCATCCAAAGGCCTTCATCAATCCGAGGAGCCACAAACAAACTCGGTCCCACACGCAGCAGGATTATTGAGCGTGAACTCCGATGTTTTGAACCACTTTGGCTAGAGTGTGCTGCTTGTGGGTCCCCGTTTGTTTGTGGCTCCTCAGATTGATGAAGACCTTTTGGATGAAGTACGAAACGTCTCAACAAGAAAAAAAAAGAAACCGTCCAGATGAGCTGACCCAACTTTGTTGGATTTTTTTTACCTGGATTATTGAGCATGAACTTTGATGTTTAACCGTTTTCTTTCACACTTGATAAGATGTGCTTTGCTGGAGGTTTGTTCTCTTGTAGCCAAATCATTTTCACATCATTGAGCAGGCTCATGTTTTAGGTAATAAACTGTGTGTGTAGGCCAACGCACTGTTCTCATGATGGTTTGTATCCAGACGAGCAGAAAAATGTCATTATTTATCAGGCTGTGAGTAATTTGTTTGTAATTTAAACACATTTCGCTCCAGTTGTACTCTTTGCAGTAAAGTTCAGTCATTTTGATCGATAAAGGGTTAAAAGAATGCAGTAAAACTCTTAATTGTTTGGGGTTTTTTATTTACAGGCTTATTTGGTTTTATTGTCCTGACGCTGCTGCTCATCCCCATGTACTTCATCTACGTCGGCAGCTTCAGCAACAACCCTCGTCAAGTCCTGGAGGACTCGATAGATGCCTTCTGTCAGATCGGACACAAGCCCCTCATCCTTTTGGCTCTGCTGGGCAACACGGTCAGCATCGCCTTCTTCAACTTCGCCGGGATCAGCGTCACTAAAGAGATCAGCGCCACCACCCGCATGGTGCTGGACAGCCTGCGGACCCTGGTCATCTGGGTGGTGAGCCTGGCGTTGGGTTGGGAGCAGTTCCAAGGCTTACAGGTTCTGGGCTTCTTGGTTCTCCTTCTGGGCACGGCGGTCTACAACGGACTGCACCGCCCCGTGCTGGCCAGGATACCGTGGTGCGCGGCGAGGATGGACTCGGAGGAGAGCAGTTCAGCAGAACGGGAACGGCTGCTGAATGACGACAGGGTGCAGGGTGCAGACACATAAAACTACGCAGACCTTTCACCGACGCCGTCAGTCGACCCGTGCACATTTTCTGTTCATTTTAAGTGCTCTTACTCAGTGATGTATTAAAAGTAAGAAGTGGATTTTTTTTAAGCACTGGTGGAAAAGGCATTTATTTACTTTCTTGCAGAAAGTTAAATAAGTTTATTTGTAGCACTTTCATAAACTACAAATGTAAACCTGGTAAGAAGTTTTGCTCAAGAAGCAAACGTCATGTTCATGCAGAAACCACCACTGACATGTTGAGTCATAATAAAGGAAAGGAAGATATTTTTGTGCAAAGCACATAAAAGCTTTAAGTGTATTAAGGTAAGGTTACTTCCAACATTTCTTATTTGGTTGTAACTAAATAAATTGCAGTGATAAAGTTCATTTCAGGATCAGAACAAGTAGTTAAAACAATAATGAGTGAATTTTGATTGTAGGTTCAATATATATATATATATATATATATATATATATATATATATATCCATCCTCAGCACATCCGTGGGGATGTAAAGAATCCGTAAATACCGTAATAAAATGTCCCTAAACCTTAAAGCATCTTGTAGTTTTGACAACAATCTAAAAGATATCGGAAAACTTCACAAGGTGCAGCTTTGTAGATCTCTTTGTTTTTTTTTAATCCAATGAAAACTACTGTATTTTTCAGACTATAAGGTGCACCGGATTATAAGGCTCACTGTGGATTTTTGAGAAAATTAAATGATTTTAAGTGCCTTATAGTTTGAAAAATAAAGTAACAAACTGTTCACTTTACGGGTGTTGTCAATAGATCATTTATTATTCTGCAGGAGAAAATTTGTTTGATTCCCAAAATTATAAACTAGGGATGCACGATGTTGGATTTTTGGCCAATATGACGATATGTTAAAACTTATTTGGCTGATAACAATACCAATATTTTTTTCTCTATACCTACTTAAAGAGGCTGCATAGCTTTCTCTGCTGTGGAATTAAAAACATTATTCTGCGTAGCCTTTGTCAGTTTGCCCTGCTACCAATTGCAGATGCCAAAAAGAAGGCTGAAAATGATGTAGCACTATATTAATATATAATATGCATAAAAAAACAGCGCCTTTTATATCGGTGAGATATTTTGATGGAATGTCCGATATTTACCTTTGTCGCTAATATCGGCCGATACCATGCCGATAATATCGTGCATCCCTGTTATAAAGTGATCACAAGAAATAGAACGGGAAGAAATGGAAGCTCAGTTATTTTACTAAATTAATCTTCCAGGGAACTTTTTTGTAAAGAAACTGGTTATCACTTGGACTTTTTGGGGGGAATTATTATTTTTTGGTTTCAATAGAATTTGAAAATTGTTTTGTGCAACAATGTCAATGTGCAAATCTGTTGGTTTTTTTTATGTTAATTTGAATATTGGTTCCAAATAAGCCAATAATATAATCTCAATGTAACGTTTTCATCTTTGTGCTTTTTTATTGATTGTGCCAAAATGTTTTCTGCTCGGAGATGAGCACTCGGTGCTCTTTTTAATTGCACTACAGGAGTTTTACACAAATATTATACAATTTTAATCTGTAGTAGAATTTTTTTCTTCTGTTTATATGAATATAGGAGCAGTTTGAAAATCCAACTTCGACTTGTATTTGTAAACAAAGTCTGCAAATCTTTAATTTTACATTTTATTAAATATTTCATAAAGAAGTAAAAAAAAAAAGGGAATTGTCATGAAATCACAATTGTTTGCTGAAGTTACATTTTTCCTCAGGTGTGCAAAAAAAAGCTTATAGTTTTATCAAATGAAAAACATTAAACAGAAACATTTGGCATTTTATGTTCATGTAGATGAACATATGCATGATATATTCATAAATTAAACGGATTCTTTCATTTTTCTGGACTGTATAATGACGTGCATCTGAATTTAATAAAATGTGGACGGAAACGTGTTTATCTTTGACTCACCAACGACAGTGGGTCATTTATTTAAAAACGATTTAAACACATCACACATTTACATTAATTTGGCAAAATGATTTCAACAACAACATGGCAAGTTTTACAAGGAGGGAACAATACGGCGATTGTTTCCCTTGCTTCTTTTTGTACAACAGACATTTCTAAAAATACCTGGATTAATTTGCTAGCAGAAAGAAGAGTTTAAAGATGGAAAGATGAAGTTTAGAGGGAGGGAGATGAAAAGATGGACGAGGGAAAATGTTTGTGTCGGCATCAGAACGGCACTCTCCGGGTTTTTCCCAGCTTCTTCCCCGGTACACTTAGGTGGTATAAATCTCTTTTACCTGGAGATGTCTCCCTGGTACGAAGTTCCATTTAACGCACCCTTTCAGCGTCTCCGTAGGAACAGCTGTGAATCGTCCGAAGTAGTGACGGTATTCCGTCCGACACAGGTTCACCTCACGAGTGGACTTCACATGAGTGGTGAGTCCGTCAGGAGTTCCACTCAGAGGTGGAAGATGTCATAATCCCACAATACTCGGAAGAGCTCTGGATCATGTCGGGATTTTCCTGTTCTCCCTGACCCATATGGTAAACACACACACACAACCTTACAGTCAGGTTGATGACTAACCTGCCCTAAAGAAATAAAACTCCTGTCATGACACAACTGACTCTAATCAGTGTTGTATTTATAATATTTGAAATTGAACATATCACGCAATGTACCACATTTTTAATTAATTAGCTATTACACGTTCCACCCATCCATGAAACTAGTTGGTAGTCAGTCTGTAAATCATAAAGAAAGTTGTGGGAAAAGTCAAATTAATTTCCAGGAGCTCAAGGTTCCCCCTTCCTTGTTATGATCAA